CCTTACTTAATAAAACTGATTTATTCTTTCCGAATACAACTTTACCATACACTTACTTTCAACAGTCGCGCTATAACAAACGCTATATCTCACGTGGCCAACAATATTTTGTCGGCATACATTCAATTACTCATTACCTACACCCACATTGTCACGTCACGCCGTGACCATCTTATATATACCAGGCTATCCTATATCTAGTAAATGCTAGGGCATTCACGAAGGAACAAAATACTTCTAGAAACGTGGCGTGACACTAGTCATGTGACCTCGCTGACGCAACAATATTAAGTAGTAAAATGTGTTTCAGAGTTATATATAATTTTTGTTGCATCTTTCAAATAAAATCATTAAATTGTATATTTCAAATTGGTAATTAAGTGCCTGTTATGTATATCTTATATTAATCTATAAAGAAAATTTTAGAAGTTGTAATTTAAAAAGGTATTTAAAGAAACAACGGCTACTTGTCAAAGAACAGAGGCTTACGTTGGAGATGTACTTTCCGTCATGTTAATAATAAGTGTCTTAGCTATATTTGTTGCTGGCTTTAAAGTGTAGGGTCGAATGAAATGAGCTCTTTTGCGTGAATTTTCCCCCATTTTCGAGATTTTGTGATTTGGAAATTGAATTACTCATATGGCTGGTATCTTAGTTCTTGGCAACGTTTCTGAACTGTGTTTTTATGTTGTTAAATTATTGTTAATATCACGAACATGTTCCTAGCACTAGCCCGTTTCTCCAATGTACATGTTGGTTTGGAAAAAATTGAATTCGGAGAAAACTGTATATATTGTTTTAGAAGAGTATAGACTACCATAGTACCAGTTTATGGTGGTTGTTATATAGAAACTGTAAGTATTAACTATTATTATTAATAAAAGCATAAGAATGGTATTTGATTGACATTGATTCTAATACTGATACTCAGTGATAGATTAGAGGTAAGAAAACTCGTGATCTGATGTTGCATTTTTAAATTGCACATACTTCAGGTTGAGCTAGTTCAAGTAGTTGTTATGATTAGCGTTTCAGAATTTTTAATTTGAATTTTGTTTTCAAAAGACTAAATTAGACTTCGATTTTTATAACACTACAATTATTTTAGGAAGTTATTTCAATCTTAGTATCTTCAGTAGTAAAGGTACTGCGTGCAGCAATGTTAGCAGTAGTAGTACCGCCGATTTGTTCCGATTACGTTCTTCACATATTATTCCAATATGTGTTTATGCATATCAGGCTGACGGTTCAACGAATCGCCTAAAATGTATCATTCGATAATACTGTTGATTGCCCTGTAGAGAAATGTAGTGCGTCTTCTAACGGCGTCTGCAGAGTTTGTTATCAAATTTTAATGTAATATTTATTATACTCTTAAAATTTAAATATAGAATATTTATTTTACCATTCTTTAGTATAATATATATTAAAGTATCACAAAATCTTAAAATTATTCCTATGGTCATATGTATTTGATTTTTATCGATTTCACTGATTATTCCTGCTTCCTAAAAGATACCGACTTTTACCGATTTAACCCGTATCAGTTTTTACTTGTGTTATGTTATGGTGCGCCTTGCGAAGTATAGGTTTCTTTGAATTATAAATACCACGTTCGCCTCTTCGTTAGCTCTGTAGACAGTATGTTTTTGCATAGAAATGGATCGAAAATGCTAAAACTTTTGAAGACGTTGTTTCAAATTGTGTTAATTTTCGAATATTTCGGATGAAAAAAAATAAATAAATTGAAATAAGTGCCCTGCACTGGAAGTGGAAATGCCATTGAAGCGAAGTGGATATTCTGGCTGAAGGTATTAAGGAACATCTGGAAAGGAAGTCTCACATGAACTGAAGGAATGTCATTGTTGTGTTAATTATGTTTCAGTGGCATATTGTACAAACTTCGTAAATATAATGAAAATAAATGAAAAGCTTGATTTGATTAAATTGTTGTGCTTAGCATATTTGATACACGTTGCTGTGTCTTCTTCCACAAGCGTCCAAGACATGAAAGTTGTAAAATGTATAGATTGAGCTGGAGCTGTGATCATATATGCCCACAAAATAAATAATTTTATGACTGTTGCTGTGTAGAAAAAACTCCTGGGTATTCCAAACAGAATGCTCCATTCTTTCCACAGTTTTACTGATTTAGTTTGTACCTTGCAGCCTGGATTTTGTAAAAGCTATGGTCTATGGCGATTTTAGTTTTTCTTCAACAGTAAGCCCAATACTGAAAGGACAATATAGAAATTAAAACAAATGGCAGTATCGCAACTAGTAATCGGATAATGTGTATAAAACTGGAATTCCTGCTAAAAATTCTGCAACCCATATATCAAAAAGAGCAAAAACTATTTCCATTATTTTGACACAGACCACTAAGCTGAAATAAAATAGAAGATCAGGTCTGATCAAATTAACAAGATCAACAAATTACTTTTGAGTATTTAACCACCGGAGTCTCAGGAAAATTGGAGTAAGACTTTCAGTATTGAGTTTTCAAGAAAGTGGGAGGCCATAGTGGTTCAAAATCTGTCTTCGGCCTACCATTGCAAAGTCATAATTTGGCATTGGTTCACAACTTTTCACAATATTCCTTTGTAATTGAACTGTTTCTGACTTCTGAGGAAATGAAATGAAAATTGAAATCTGGATTTCAAACTTACTTATTGACAACAAAGATTTTTAGTATAACATTTGAGGGACAACAAGAGGCCCTTTGGTCCTGTTTATTTCACCAAACACCCACCTGCCTATATCAAACCATCTCTTGAACGCTCCCAGTCTTGTTCTTTCTGCTATGTCTGAAGGTAACCTATTTCATAGGCTGACAACTGTTTAAAAAATAATATTTTCTAATTTGGAGATAATTTCTAACCTGCCAAATCTTAAATCTATGCCCCCTAGTCCTACCCCTGTTACTGTTAAAGCCTTAAACACATGCAAAAAAGATAATGCATCAATCCTTTCCCCTTTATAATTTTAAATAATTTAGTGAAATCTTCTTCCATCCCATATTTTCAGAAGATAATGTAATTTTAAGGATCTTAATCTGTTCTCTTATGATAGCCCCACCACCACAGAAATCATCCTAGTAACTCTTCATTGAACCTTTTCCAACATCTCAATGTCTTTAAGATAAGGAGTCCGAGACTGAATACAATACTCTAAATGAGATCTAATAAGAGATTTGTACAGATAATCTTTTCTAACTTATGTTGAATATTTCTGTAGATACAACCCAAATTCTTTTAGTTTTTTCCATTGTTAATAACACACTGTCTAGAAGGCTTAAAAGACTTATTGACAAAAAGTCCTTTTCTTCTATATCACCATTTAGTTAATTTCTATCAAGGTGGTAATTATAGTTTAAATTAAGGTATCCCACATGCTTTACCTCCCTCTTAGCATAATGAAATGCCATCTCCCATTTATTTACCAAATGATCCAGATGCCTTTTTAAAAGAACAGCATCCTCAATGAAACATTTTAGAATGGACGGCAATTGCCTATTGTAGAGACACAAGTGTTGAAAATAACGTTTCGAAAGTCATTAGCCTTTCATTTTCAGTTGCCGTCCATTCTACAAAGTTTCATCATGAATACTCTGTCTAAACAATATCAAAGAACAGCATCCACCTCACAGCCAACTAAACTCAAACTTCAATATCATCAGCAAGTTTGACCAATTTGTTGACTATTCACTTATTAATATTATTAATGCATGTTATAAAGAGTAAGGGTTCTAGCATGGTCGTGAGGTACAACACTTACAACTACAATACAATATGATTGAACTTAATTTATTACAACATTTTTCTTTTTCATCCAACCTTTAATCTATTGAGCTAACTTATCCTTTCCACCTACAGAAATAATTTTTTACTAATCTTTTATGTGGCACTTTGTTAATTAAAAGTCTTCAAAAATCCAGATATATCAAATCTGCATCCTTACCCCTCATCAATATAAGCTGTAACAGCTTTGAAGAAGGTCAAAATATTCATGATTTAAGGCCTATCAAATGTTAAACATTGCTGTCTGTCCAACAAATATGTAAACTTTGTTAGATAGTTATGCCAAACTTTTACCTACCCTATAATTGCCTAGACAGTGCTTGTCACTTCTCTTAAAAATAGGTGTAACATCAGTTAACTTCTGATTCTTGTCACCTACCAACTACTCAAAGACACACAAATCTTAGTAAGAGGCTTACTTTTGCAATCCTTACCCTTTTTAATACCCATGGAAAAGTATTATCTGGCTAATGTTACGTTTATGTACATCTATCATATTTCCCACTAGTAATTTTTTAGGACATGAATACTGTTCACATTTTCTCTAGTGAAAACAAAAGAAATAAATTAGAGACTCAACCATTCCATAATCTTCTATAATAACTTTTCCTACAGCATTCCTCAAAGACCCAATTGCCATTTTTACATTGTATATTTGGTGTATTTATAATTTAATGAAATTCTTTCTGTTTTAGTATTTTCAGATAACCTTTTTTTTCATTTTTTGATTTTCCTGTATTCTTTTTTAACCAGTTTTTATTTCCCATAATCCTCCAAACCTTCCAACTTAGTAGTTAAACTAAAATATTTCAAATTTGTGATGCTTAATTTTCTTCCAAATAACTTAAAGTGAGCCTCCCTGGTCTGTTACTTGCACTCACTTTTTTTTTTCCTTCTGTGAAATATAATTATACTAAACAATTAACAACTTGTTTTTACAAACCTCTCACATATGAAAAACATCTTCATTTAAATAGGAAGAAATTCCTATTTCTCCCATTCAAAATTAGCCTTCCAAAAATTTGGAACCAAAATATTGTTGTTCTTGATCTCCATATGTAATACCACCTGAAACCTAATTGTCTTATGATGACTTGAATGTTAATAGTAAATCCACAGTTTACTACTATGAATAGATATATAACTAAAGCTTATAGTTATTGAAGTCTTCCTTGGACTCCTATTAGAAATCAACCAACCCTCATGAAACACTCATTCTTCCTGTTATCAGAGATCATAGCATGTGAACAGCAATTAAGGGACTAATTTGGATCCTGAAACTTTCATCACAATAACTTCCTTTACTATTATAGGGTTTGGACTGTTTTTCTGATGAATCTTTTCTTGTTTTCATCCAAGTTGGATTATATCCAGGATAGTAGAAGGACAGGGCTCTGTGAAAAAACCCTTTAAGCAACACCTGCATACATACACAATGTAGAATGTTTGGATGAATTACCAACTGTTGTATATAGCTTGGTATTGTGACTGTGAGTAAAGTATATACTGTGTAGTAGTTTTATGTTGCTGCAGTTCTTCGTTTAACATGCTTATTGCAAATATTTAGTTATAGGACTATCTGGTTAAAAAAGCACGCTACTTGAATTTGAAATGTTTTTATGTACAAGTTAAGGATTTTTAGTTATTATAAGTGAGTTTAGTTCATATTTGGGTAGATGAGTATGGTAGTATTGCTATTTATATTTTAAATAATAAAAATTGGTTGGTTGCTAACGGTGAACATGAAAAGTATATATTGAGCAACCTTTTTTATTTCACTTTCAGTTCAGTAATATTACAGACTAACATTATTACAATGTGGGCAAATATTAGTACCATTTTTTTGTTACTAAAGTTGATTGTTTTTTTTCTCTCAAATTTTCTACTGGTTTTTACTTATAAAATTAAATACCAATTAATTCCTGGAAAGTTGTGGAAAAATAAAATTGAAAACATAGTTATTTATTACAGTGATTTACACTAATTTGTAATTGATACAATATTATCCAATTGATTTGTAAATACTGTGAGAGAGCTTGACATGTTCTTACACAAAAGTCAACCAAAGTGTGGAATTGTAAAGTTCAAGCATTTTATGAAACTGTGAGGTAGGTGTATCATACTCATATTGTTAAATTTAATTTAATTTACATTAGTCTAAGAGTTGCTATTTAAAATCTTACCTTTAGGGTTTGGACACCTGGATCTTGGAAACTAATATATGTAGATGATAATTAATCTTTGGACAAGTAACTCCCCATTAAGGTGTATGTTTTTAAATATTTTAACTACTAGAGAAGAAATTGATGGCCAAAGCATAGGTGTTCACACTGTAATGTATCTGAATACAAAGCAACCTATTTTGTATGAGGTTTGTAGGCCTCACACTTCCCCTATAAAAAACATCTAATAATAAAGTGGACCTGTATTTTTGGGAAAATAGCCTATAAAAAAAATATTTTGTCTTACCTGAGTCAAAAAAATGTTTTTGAGTAAATCTGCTTATTTAATTTGATATTTTCTTGCTTCACTGGGTTCACCTTCATGTCTTAGTTTTTAGTTTTAGTTGATTATCTCTCACTTAAGCAGTCAACTTTGCCATGCTTCAACATAAATTATTAGCCATGGCATAGCGGCTCATAGAATGGCTCTGAGTTTTTTTTCAAGTACAAACTTTTAGCTCATAGGTCCATCTCTTTAACGAGTTGAGATCTAATTACAGCCGTGGCTATTGAGGATTTCGTCTTGTTTACCAATGTTTGACAAAGTAGTATCAGCATGCAGACTGAGACATCAACAGCCCTTCATATTAATGTTATAATATTCTTCCCTCCTCCACCTAACTTACTTTTTACACCAATGCCATCCTTCCTGGTTGGGGAGAGAATTCTCAACAGCTCCACTCTCTGTGGTTTCTGCTTATCATCATTCTGAAGATGTCTTAAGTTTTTTGGGTTTGTCAAAATCTTTGGTTGCAGTTGCCGGGTCATCTCATGACAATCCATTCAGACACTTTTATGATAATTTCTTACATCACTTGCCAGAGAGGCATGCACTTTTGGTCATGTGCTTTAAGTGATTTTTTTGTCATAGCCCTGTCTGTTTCACAGTTACTGAGCATTGTTATCCACACCTTTTGCCTCTTGACTATCACTACTCCCTTTCTTTGGCTGTTTTCTCTTTCTACTTGTCATCTTCATTCAGACACTCACACCTTGCCTCCTGTCATCTTTATCATAAGGGCCTCTTAATCTATTCCCTGACTATTTCTTTCATCTGAGGACTTGGGCTGCTCAGGTGGATGATCGGTTGCTTCCATCTCTTGCCCTTCTGTTTCCTCATTATACAATCATTCTCTTCCTGATTGTCTTTTATGTTCAGTTGTGGCTGTCTCTGCTTGAGTAGGATGTAGTCTTCCATCAGGTGCTGCTTCACTAGTTTTCTATTATAAATCAAAGTTAAACTAATTAACAAACAGCAAAGGAATATATGGTTTTTTGAAACTGTTCCTCTTGCACACCCATCTTTTAATTTTTTTAGGAAATAAGTGACTTTTCTCTTAAACTTGTGTAAGTTGCAGCCTCCATGACTGGCCATGTCAACTGATTCTATAAACTAATTACTCTTTTAAGAAAATAAAACTGTCTTAACTGGAGTCTGTCCCATCTTTTTCCAATCTTAAACTCATATATTTTCATCCTGTTCTCTTCAGAATACAGCACAAAGAGATTAGAGGTCTTTATCAAATTGATCCCCCCCAAATTTCAATATAATCACTTCTTACCATTCTTTTCTCATACTTACTCATTCAAAAAATAAATTATTATAATTTATCAGCATTAGATAACTCTTCTAAGTACAAATTTATTTTATTCATAGTGGTCCTCTTCTGAAACCTTACCAGTAAATGAATATCGTTTCTTAGATAAGACGATCAAACTGTACAAAATGACATCTAGCTAAGTAGTGATTTGTTTAAAAAATAATTACCTTTTCTTACTTGTACAATATATACTTATGAATACAACCTAAAAATTTTATTAGTTTTACTTCTCGCAATAGATGGGACGGATGACTTAGCCACTGCCATTATGCCAATATCTTTTTCTTCTGTCATGCTACTGAATGGGTTCCCATCTGCATTAAACATGATCTAGATTATGATAACACAAATGTATTACCTTACACTTACTATAATTAATGGTAATTAGCCAAATGTTTGTCCTTTTGACCTAATTAATTCTATAATACCTCAATATTCTTAATAAAGATAAAAATACACAGAGTTTAATGTCACCAGCATACTTTGGTAATTATGCCTTTAAATAACACCATTTATGTAGACATGAAAAATCAAAGGCAAATGTGACATCTAAGGTACAACTCTAGCAACAAAGTTTCAATTTGATGGGACTCAGTAACAACTTTTTGCTTTCTCTCATTTAGATATCCTACATTTCATTTAGTTAGTCTTTCTTGAACTCCTACCATTACAGTTTTCTTAGCTGGTGATCGAAAATACACTAAGTCTGTGTTTTTTTCAATCATTCAGATAACAAGTAATTCATAGCCTTGCATGGAACTTTTCATCAAATTAGAAATTTATGTAAACATTTTTTGTGCATATTTTAATACAATGGTAGCAGAATATTGAAAATTTTTAAAGTACAGACTAACCGTTTAGAAATTTGAAGGACCAGGAGGGTTCAGCAATGGTGGTCATGTAGTGATTTACAAGCTGTTAAAACAAACACAACTTTATTGGAATATAAGAGTATATTCATAAATGTCAAGTGTCAGACACTTAACTTTCAGGCATTTTATCTGCTGCTAATTTCAGTGGGTGGGAAACGTACACCTTCGTTCATCCTAAATAGAACAAGTTTTGTTTTATCTTAATGTTTGAAGTATGTATCTTATAGTCATCACATACGCACATTAATAAATAAAACAACAAATTTCATGGAGATCTTTGGTTTACCTCTGGATATGAATAATAGAGATTTATAAACAGAGTCTCTTGTGTTTAAAATAGTTTATCTTCTAAAGAACAGTAGTAGTACCAACAAAGTCTTCATACTGTAAAGGTGTTATGTTCATTTGGTTCATTTTATTTTGGTTTTTTTGAATATGCTTAATTAATATAAAATACACCAAATTTCCATCTGGCTTTAAAAATAAAGGTACAGTGAGATAAAGCTTAAGAAATATTCATTTTTACCAAGGAGCAATGATATGTTAACAGTCATGATGTTTATGTAAAACTGGAAATGATCATCCTAATTTTTGGAAAGAAACACTATTGAAAAGGCCTGGTATTTCAATATTTTAAAGAAATCTTTGTCTATCAGCTAAATTCTTTGGTGCACATTTCTGCAGCTCTAGTATGCATTTTATGGGTATTGTGCCTTCACATTATGGAGATGGATCCACATGAATTAGTGTATATCCTCTCACACAGCAACAAGTAAATATCTGTTGTGAGGAGAGGAAAATCTTGGCTTTTTTTTTTTTAAATAAGTAAATGTGTTTAAATTATTAAGGTATAGATGATAATTGACTAATATGTTATGAAACATAAATGTGAATTCATCATAATTGTGCAGCCTGTAGCACGCATCAAGCACAGGCCAATCAGAAGAATGTTGTGACATAATCATGCAGATGTTAAAAATAAATATAAAGGAAAAGCAGCTGGTGTATCAACAGTGAAATATTTTTGGTTTCTTCATCTGTTAGATATATCACATGACATTTGACATATATTGTTTCATTCCAGTTGTCTACCCTTGTCAGATTTTCTGATCAAACCCTGAGAGAGGGAAGAAACGATCATATGTAAGTTTTCAGCCTAATAATTTTGTATGCATAACTTTAATGCTTGTAACAAAGATCTTATAGTTAAATCTATATGTGAGAGTTCCTTGTGTTACTGTTTATGCCAACTTCTTAGATATATTTTGAATTCAGGGAATAGTAACAGACAGATATTTCTCTATATAGGACAGTTTTGAAAGAAAGTCACTCCTTCACCAGGGTGCAGTCTTATTATGGATCATTTACTGTGTTACTAGAAGCCTGATATTTTGATATATACTTTGATATAATTGCTTATAGTGTATTAGTGGACACTACAAAAATAATTTAATTTTCAGCTTTTTTAATGTGCATTCATTTACATATTTTATGTGTTCTGTTGCTACACTATCCTGTAGGGTTTTCGAGATTAAATCTTGAATCTTGTATTCTATGTAAAACTTCCCCTATAATGTTAGAGTAAAAGCAAAACATTATTATATGAAGAGTGGCACATTTATATACTAAATATAGGTTTAATTCATTTTTGTAAAGAAATTTTGTAATATAATTTATCCAGGTTATCTAAAACACTTTTTATTCTTTTCTTAGATATATAATACATATACTGTACCATGGATATGGAACAAAAATTGCAAGAATTGGAAGAAAGAATCATTAAATTGGAAATGAATGGTCCAAAGACATTCCCATGTGTTAAGCTTCTAGGATACGAAGATAAAAAAAGAATTTTGGTAAGACTTTTTTGTGGGACTTTTAGTCTCAAAAACCGTATTTAAATCACTTCTGTTGATTATACATCTCAAAGCCTATTGATTAGACTTTTCTAATTAGAATTATGTTTCCCATCACAAATTTCATGCATGCAGAATAAAATGCAAAAGTACAACAAACTGTAAGCAAGAGTATTAACAATTCAAAACATAGTAATATCAAGTAATTTAAATCTAAATTTATTAATAACAATACAAATATTCAACTGTCAGTGTGGACTTGATGTAACACAGGCTGGAAATGCTACTAAGATCAGTAAACATCTTTATGTTTAATAGTACATGCATGATAAAGGCACTGGGGAATATATCTCATTTCTAGTTCTTAGGAAAATTTTTATGGAAAAGTTTTAAACATTTCTGTACATTAGCTAGAGTATTTAAGCAATTAGAACTTGTATATAAGTGTTTTGAAACTTGGTGGCAAAGAAAATAAAATAAATATTTATGTATGTCACTATATAGTGGAGAGATTGCAAATTTAAAGTTTATCAGTTTTTAAAAATCTATTTTAGTAAAATCAGATGTATTTTATACCAGTAATTGGGATGATAAGACACAAGTTGTTTCACTGCAAATGTAATATTAAATATGAGCATGCAGTGAGTGGAGTAGCATACAAACCAAATATGATAATTAATGTATAATAAATGAATTAAATAATGCTCCAATGGAAAGTGTTTTATAATCATTCATTTATTATTTGTAAATATATTTAACTAAATGATTTCTCCAAAATAAGCATTCATATGTTTGTGATGACAAGCAAGCTGCAGAAAGATTGGTTGCCCACTAATCTAATTGGATCCCATACACTTTATTAGTTACCTCAGAAACACCTGTAATGAATTCCTTAAGGAAGTTTTGAAGAAATCACAATCTTCAATGAAATATTAGTAAAGATAAAAGGGCTTCAAATGATCAAGAACAAATGAAGTAAGTAATAATCACAAAAACTAATAAAAACAATACTGTTATGATAATATTGTTACACCTCTATGTTCGTTTGTTAATTTTCCGTAAAAATTCTTTCCAAAGAAACTATAGCGATACAAGTCCTTTCTTAAATAAAACTAGTTTATTCTTTCCCAATACAACTTTGCAATACACTTAATTTCCACAGTCACGCTATAACTTAAACAAACGATTCACGTGCTTGACTCAATTGTCTGTCTCTATCTCTGTCTGCAATTCAATTCCCATTGTTGCCGTCACTTTTTACCGGTCTTATATACAAGAATACCACACATCCAGTAAACATTTGAGCATTCAAGAACCTTCGAGAATATCATGACGTGTTACCAGCGTCACGTGACTTCCGCTGTCGTAACACTGCCCCTTCCTTAGTATTGTTCATCCCGAACAATAGCCACTTACATTAAACCAATAAATAATTAACAATAACTTAATTAAATGTACAGAACTTGCAAACACAAAATTAGAATTCAACAAAGTCTTTTAATTTTACGGGACGTATCTTCTTCCATACTGGCTTTTGCTGCATGTGAGGTTCATCTGCTCCATCAGGAATTGTCCTATTATCGGAAACAGTC